CCTATAGTATGTTGTCACCTCAGGTAGGCCTAGCCCTCCCTGCGCTAGGGGTTTGGAGAGTATGTGTGTAGCCACTCTAACTTTCTTGTATGCCCAAACGAAACTAGTGAGAGATTTTTGTAGGCGTTTCAAGTACGTGTTGGGAATATGGATCTGTAACGTTCTAGTTAGATATTGGAATTTCGGCAGCAGCATCATCTTCACCGCCGCCAGTCTTCCCACCCAGGACATAAACTTGCTATCCCAGTTCTTTAAGGTGTCATTAAATTCGTCTATTAACCTCCCATAGTTTAGATGTAAGAGTCTCTTGGGGTCTTTTGGGATCTTCAGTCCCAAGAAAGTAAGGTGGTCATCCCTCCAGTCTAGCGGGAATGAGGTTTTTAAATTTTCTATGGTTTCGCGTGGTATCCCGATCCCCATTGCTTGTGTTTTTGTTACGTTAAGCTTGTAGTATGATTGTTCCCCATATAATTCTATTTCCCTCAACAGGTTTGGGAGCGACAGGTGTGGTTGTGTTAGTGTCAGCAGGATGTCGTCCGCGAAAAGGTTTGCTTTATATTTCCTTCTCCCTATCTCCAGGCCGTGTATTGCGGGGTTTTCTCTAATTTTAATCGCTAACGGCTCCAGCGCCAACACATAGAGCAGCGGGGACAGGGGGCACCCCTGTCTCATGCCGTTTGTGAGTCGGAACGGCTCCGACAGGAACCCCGTGTTCAACACTCGTGCTGCGGGCTGGCTGTATAGAGCACTAACGGCTGCCACAATGCCAAACCGACCCAATACCTCTTGGAGGAACCCCCAGTGTAAGCGATCAAAAGCTTTTTCGGCGTTGAGGGAGACCAGCAATCCCCCCCGGCGCCAGCCCTGCAGGTAGTGGAGGATGTTAATAACTTTCCTAGTGTTGTCCGACCCCTGTCTCCCCTTTATGAAGCCCACCTGGTCATCATGTATTATGGATGGGAGGATTGCACTTAGTCTGTTAGCGTATAATTTGGCGTACAGTTTTGCGTCCGTGTTGAGAAGGGAGATTGGTCGGAAATTCTGTGGGATCGTCGGGGTTTTGTTAGGTTTTGGGAGCGTAACGATGTGGGCTGCTAGTGTTTCTTTAGGGAGTTCCCCCTTATGAGTTGCCTCTGTAAATAATCTGCCTAAGTATGGTGCAAGTGTGGTGTTGAATTTCTTGTAGTATTGATTGTCAAATCCATCTGGTCCTGGGGATTTCCCTGTTGGGAGGCCTTTAATTAACTCCTCAACTTCTAGAACTGTTATTGGTTTTGTAAGGTCTAGCTGCTGTTGTGGCATGATCTTAGGTAGTCTCACTCCATCCAAATACTCTCTAATGCTTGTGGTCGTCGGATGTCTGATCTGTGTGTCTTGTTGAATGTTATAGAGTGTTGAGTAGTATGTAGCGAATACCTCACTTATGCCTTTCGGGGTTCGTATTTGTGTTCCTGCTCGGTCCGTGACGTAGGATATTTTTTGGTGTGCCTGTCTAGATTTTATCCTTTGTGCCAACAATTTGCTTGCCTTATTCCCTTGCACGTAATGGTTTATCTTGAGCTTCTGCATGTGTGTGTTGAGTGTCTCAAGTGCGTGTTGGTGCATAAGACGTGTGAGCTGGGTTATCTTGTGTCTTGTCTCTGGGGTTGGTGTATGTTGGTTGAATCTGTTTAGGTTGTACAGCTCTGCCTGCCATGTTCTGAGTTGTGCCTGGTGTGTCCTTTTCACATAGGCTGCCCTTCTGATCAGTAGGCCTCTTGCTACTGTTTTGTGCGCTAGCCATAAGGTGGAGTCTGAGACATCACCCTTATCATTGTTTTCGAAGTATGTTTGGAGGTCTTCCATTAGGGTCTTTCCGTATCCCCCGTCCCTCAACAGCGAACTGTTTATTTTCCACGGACTGCGGTGCTTAAAGTCGTAGACATTTTTTAATTCTATAGTTACTGGTGCGTGGTCTGACCACGTAATCTGCTGTATATCGCTATCAACTAATTGGTCTAGTGCCGATCCCACTAAGAGAAACCCATCTATTTTAGAGTAAGAGTTGTGCACCACTGAAAAGTGGGTATAAGCCCTTTCTGAAGGGTGCGTGACTCTCCAGGCGTCATAGAAATGTTGGTCGTGGAGTAGTTTTGCTATGGCTCTACATTGTCTCTTCAGGGGGCGGTGATGCTTGCTACGTGCATGTAGGGTGGTGTCTGTCAGCGGGTCGAAGATGTGGTTGAAGTCCCCTCCTATGATCGTGATGCCCTTTTGGGTTTTGGCTGTCTGAGTTAAAATTTTGTGCAAAAAGTTCCTTTGGTTGGTATTTGGGGAGTACATGTTCACAATGGTGTATAGCATATCGTTAAACAGTCCTACGAGTATGTGGAAGCCGTCTCTTTAAGGTGTATGAGGAGATGTCTGAGTAAATGGTTATACCTCTATATGTTACAGGCATTTCCTTACGTTTTCTGTTTGCATTCAAGATAACTTCTTTAGCATGAAAGTAATGCATTCTGAGCAGGGTATCTCTCGGCGTGTCTGGGTGTAAGAATTTCGGTCTGGCGGTCCTATGTATCCTGTCTAGCAGGAGCAGGTCCAGCGGTAAATCCGGAGCAAGTGCTTTTAGTAGGCCCGTGACATGGGCGTTAAGGTCTTCGTTTTTAACCGTTTCTGGTATCCCCCTTATGCGGAGGTTGTTGCGGCGTGCCCTATCTTCCATATCTGCTATTTTAAGGTCTTGGTCGTTTAATCGTGCGACCAGGCCTTCTACGGTTTCTGCAAGTGTGTTGTGGGCCTCCGCCATTTCTGTGATTTGTTCCTCCGTCCGCGCTGTGCGCTGGCCTATATCTTGAAGTTCTTTTCTCAGGACTGTCATAGCGCTGTCCATTTTCCCCACTATTTTATCTGACATTTCTTCCAGTAGTTTCCTGAGAGAGCTATGTGTCAGCGGATTGTCATTTTCCCCTTGCTGGGTGTCCGCGTCATGCTCCTCACCTGCGCCATCTTGGGCCTGCTCAGACTGTTGTGGAGTTTTCCCCTGTCCCGTCCTGGAGGCGAAGAAGTTTGTTTTTTCTCCCCTGTCACCTGCTCGTTTGCCTTTGGGGTGAGACATTGTGGGTCCGGGCTGGTCCCAATTGCACTTATCGGGCTTTGATTTCGCCTTTGAAGCTGTCGCGGCACAGAGCTCTGTTTACATGCGTCTGCTCCGGTCCGCGTCCAGGACACGCCCCCCGTGTCCTAATTTTTTAAAATTTTGTGAAAGGTACAGATTTCAATAGAAATTAACACTTTTATAAATTAAACTGATTACATCCCCCTGACTTTCAAGCAGACAACAGGTCCTGTTACTTCCTGGTTTGGTTAAAAAGTGTCTCAGTGTCTGGAAGTAAGCTCAAGAGGCAGCAGTTGTTCAGAGCAACTGCCTTGCAAACACTTCCTTTTGAGCTGCATTAGGAAGTCAGTGATTGGACACCCACAGAAAATCTGGGTGGTGTTTTGCTAAGAAATGCTGCACATACAGAGTTGGACCCCTTTCCTGCCAGAGGTGTAAGTGCACCTCCGACAGTATCATTGGAGTGTCAATAGCCAGACCAGAATAAGAGTTCCAGAGTGGCTAATGTCAATGCAGTGCATATCCTTATGCTCAGAGCTGTCAGCAAATGAATGAATGACTAGATCGGCATCTGACTTCAGCAGCTCTGCATAAACCAGATGTCATTCAGCCAGCAGGGCAGGACATATGGCACCCTGCAGAGACCCAGATAAGAGAGCAAATCATTGCAAAATAGTTTGCCCCTTTACACAGGGACAACGCCAGAGTTCTCCTGGCATCATAACCTGTTCAACAGACTCTAGTGATTATGATGCTTGGAATAACCCTTTAAGGTATGATGCCCATCTAATGTCTGGAATCTCTAATACAATGAGATACCACATTGTTTTGCCCGTAAATATTAAAGCAATTGTTTTGTTCCTTATAGATATTCATGTGTTTTATACACGCACAGACATACACATATTTCCTTAAATATACAAATGCTTTTTCAGACTACAGAAATGTAAGTCTGGAGGATGCAATGCATATGAAAAGTAACAACAGAATGAATTATGCTCAGTGGGGCCCCAGTGCGAAACTTATCCATGCCCCCCTCTCCCTCCCTCTTCCCCTGCCCCTCCCGTCTCACTCACCCCTCCCCCGACAGACAGAAACACACACACACATACATACATACATACATACATAGACACACACACATAGACACATACAGACAGACACATACATACATAAACACACACACATACAGACAGACAGATACATACAAACACATACACACATACATACATACATACAGACAGACACACACACAAAGACACATACAGACAGACACACACAGACAGACAGACACACACATACACAGACACACACATACATACAAAGACACATACATACATACATACATACACACAGACACATACAGACAGACACACAGACACATACACATACACACAGACACATACAGACATACACACACACATACAGACAGACAGACACACACACACACACAGACACACATACATACACACACACACACAGACACAAACATACATACAAAGACACATACATACATACACACACACACACACGACACATTCGTACAAACAGACAGGCACACGTACATACATACAGACACATACACACATACAGACACACACACACAAACATACAAACAAACACACACACACATATACAAAATAATTAAGTCGCCTGTTTCCTACCTTTTAGGTGCAGGAGGGTAACTTTCCCTGGGGTCCAGTGGTAGATTAGGCTGGTGGGAGTCAGAGTTCCCGCTCTAAATCCCTCTCCTTCCTCCTGTGCGGGTTTTCTCTGATAGCTGGGAGGAGTGACCGGGGCAGTCACTTCCTCCCAGCAGTGATCTTATCACAGGGGGCCCGATCGCACTGTCAAAGCGCTGCAGCACTGACCGGGCCCCCTGGAAATCTATACCCATCGGGTAGCTCTAACAGCATGGGCCACCCGATAGGCTCCTTCACGTGCGACCCCGGTCATAGGGGTCATGGCTGGTACCCGGTCGTAGGGGTCCGCAGGGTGGTTGGGCCCCCTGAAGTGACGGGCCCGGTCACAGCTGCGGTCCCTATATGTACACCACTGATTATGCTGTACCGTTTTCTGTTTTCAAATTTAGCATAGCTAGAGAGAGGGGGGCAGTGAGGTAAGACAAGAAAATAACACACTTCTCCAGCACCACAGAGACCATAGAGGACAAACAACCAAATGTCACCAGCAACAGCCAGTCCTCCAAAAAACCCACAATAGACATCAGCAATTATTACTTATTCAAGGCTGCTGCATTTATCTTCAAGTAAAATATTTCAGATAACATGGCCATGTGTTCTTGTATAAGATATACAATCTGATTTGTTTCCAGTACAATATGCATCTATTTATCCTACAAGTCTGGTATCTTTGACAGCTGATATCTTTAGTTTAAAATGGGCAGATCCTTTGGCATATCTTATTACTCTCTTTAGTGCAATCTGGTCTTTCACTTTTCTGCACAATATGCCCACGCTCCTACTGCAGATGCAACATCATAACTGCAAGTTGTAGGCAGGTACAAAAGCTTATCTGTTACTGTACTATATATGTTGATGTCAGGTAACATTCCACTTTCATCAGACTCTGTGAGGAGGTTTGTACGAGTGCGTGTAGATATAGCATGAGTTTACTTGAAATCTTTAAGTTCTATTAAATCAAGAATTTTGTGCCTTTCATGGAGAAGATTTTGTTTTTTTTACAATCTCAGTTTTTTATTTAAATTTTCTCAAAAGTAACACATACAGTCATAGTATACAGGTGGGAATCAGTTACAGAGGTAGATCAGTCCTCCTCACTGTGAGCATTACTACTCCCCTGTGGTTCCCAATTTGGGTTTGCAATAAGAGGTATAGGACTGCAGATATCATCGGACGTGTTCAAGGGCACTGTTTCCGCTTGGTGTGACACTTAGACATGTAACTGCCCTTGTACATGGAAACCTCCATGTATATTGTACATGCTAAAATCTTAGTCCTGAGTATAGGATCATCAACCCTGTTCATGTTCACCAGTTCCCTGCCCTGTGGCCGTCACCTGGTTTGCTATTGGGTCTGGTCCCTGGGGCATCAATGCTGGAGCCTGTGGCTAGTAGGTCTTAAAATAAACCATGGCTACCTGCACCCTCAGCAAGTTACCAACCCATGTGACCTGGTAAGGAACCCCTTTGAGAGGGAGAACGAATATATAGTAGACGTCATAAATCTGAGAGGGAGGGTTGGGAGGAAAAGAAGAGAGTGAGAGGGGGAAAGGGAGCGGAGTAAAAAAAGGGGGGGCAGGAAATGAAGGGTGATGGGGTTGCCATCCTGAATTGTTGCTCCAGTCCCGCCTGCTTTGACCCCCCCCAGGGAGCCCCCATGGCTCCGCATTCTCTTGTCACCTATACAGACACAAAATCTTGTCCGTGCTCAAGTGGTAAATTCAGGTTCTCAAGATCTCCTCATGCTTCTCCAGTCTTCCTTTAGTTGCGGCCACCCCCTCCTCCAGTTGGAGGAACTCTTCTACTCTGCTGAGCCAGTCTTGGAATGTCAGAGTGTCTCTCCATTTCCAGAAAGTGGGTATTAGAGAGTGTAATGCAGTTAGAAAGTGTCAGAAGAGGGATTTCTTAAAGAGCGGAGCGGTTAAGTAACATATCCGCTGGGTACCAATTCACACCTTCATTAGCCACCTTGAGCATATGTGCGTGAATTCTCTGCCAATATGGGACAATCCTCGAGCACTCCCAGAAAATGTGAAGGAGAAAACTAGGTCCATTCTGGCATCTCCAGCACGTAACAGGATTATCTGGGAAGAATGTGTGTATATTTATGTGTAGGTATGTGTAGTGAGTAATTTATTTCCTGGGTCGTCAATGTCAGTGGAGTGCTTCCTCACACAAGAATTGAAACTTGAGAGGGGGATGTTTCTCCACATCCCTCAGTAGTAGATAGAGTGCAGATATACCATGATACAAAGGTCCTGCCTTTCTGCAGATTTCCTCCAGAGGCATCAGCGATCTGTTCGGGCATCCGTCGTCCAGCCCAGAAGGATATGCCGGTTTTCCCATTACCAGGTAAAATGGACCATCCGGGGTCAAAAGTGAAAATTTTAGGCTGATCTGCAGCCAAATTTTCAGCATAGCCCCAATAAACGGTTGGTCTCGGATCAGATCTCTAGACCCATTCTGCTGGTGGTATCCGACCTCCCAACAAACCCTTGTCAAGCAGACTCCATGATTTATTGGTGCGGGTTGCATGCCAGTTCACCATCCTCATTAGATGGGCTGCACAATAATATCTCAGAAAAGAGGGCAGACCTAACCCAATCCCATGTTTGGATCTCATTAGTTGTGTCATGCGGAACCTAGGCATTGAGAAGATAATTACCATTGTCATCTCTTTCTACTTACATTCTAAAATAATAAGTTAAGTTTACCATTATAGTGACTTCTGCTTTGTTCAATTGTTTAACAATCTCTGTAAAGCCTCATTGTCTTTCACTGCACATAAACTAGAAGATTAATCAATTTTCCATTTCTTTGTCTGGTAAATAGACATGGGTCTGCTTTACTCTGAATGAAGTTTTGTTCTGTGAGCATTTCACAGAATTTATTATTCCATACTCTTGCAGCTTCCATATATTACTTTCTGTAGTTTAAATACTAGACCTTTATTTGTTTCAAAGCCTTCAGGTTCCATCATGTAAAGTTCTTCATGAACTTTACCATTCAAGAAGGCTGACTTCATCTAGCTACTCTACGTGAAACTGTTCAGATGCTGCAATAGTTATTAATGTTATGATTGTGTTGATCAAGACTACAAGAGCAAATAATTTGTCATAGTCTTCTCCATACCGCTGAGTAAATCCTTTTACTACTAGTCTAGCTTTGTAATGGAAACATTTCATCTGCATCCAATTTTGCTATTAACACCTACTTGCAACCTATGAGCTTTTTACAGTTAGGTAACTCCATGAATCCATGTTTTGTTTTTTTTGTAAGGATTCAATTACTTATTTTACTGTGTTCTTCCACTTAGTGGTTTCTGTAGCATGGCATTTATTAATATCACTCCAAGATGAGGGTTCATACGTTGACAAAGATGTTGCAAGGTAGGACAGGTGACTATCTGAAACTCTCTTGTTCTTTCTGGATGAGTCTTAAGAGTTGGTTTGAAAATTTATTTAGTTTGATCAGCAGTATCTGACTCAGTGAAGTCATTAATTTGCTCTATTCCCCCTTTTTATTGTGACTCTCTTGAGTGAAGCCACCTGTTCCTAATGCCTCAGCCTGTGAACCCTGTATGCAAACTGGATCCCTTCTGTTTGGCCATTGAACAAGCAGCTCAGTTCTACTCCATGTTGTTTTAGATCAAAATCACTTGTTGCTGGGTCACCTTCTTTAAAATAAACACTACTCACTTTTAATTTCTTCTGTCTCCGGATTAAGAATTCTGTAGCTTTGCATCTTCCCTCATATCCAGTCGTGATACCTATCTCAGTTCTGTTGTCAAGTCCTTTTATGAGCAGGGTTAAATGCATAAGCTCTGATTTGCTTAATGTTAGGGGTTCCGCCAAACTAAAGTTCAAATAGAGTTTTATGGAGCTTTTGTAGGTGGTCTCAGTGGTCCAAGTCATTTATACCATTTGTACTATAGCAGTCTGAACAATTCTTGGCTATGTTGTCGTTTTCTTTTTGTGGGTTCAATACAAATGTACCATTACAATGAAAAACATTGTGGATAGAAAAGACCATTTATTTTTTGTTATTTTACATTTATTTCAATTGAATTTTACATTATAACCATGTTTGGTTAAAGGATCACTATAGTGTCAGGAAAACATACTCATTTTCCTGGCTCTATAGGGTCCTTGGGTCCCCCTCACCCTCTGGGCCCCCCTCCCGCTGGGCTCTAGGGTGAGGAAGGGGTTAATCCCTTACCTTTTTTCTAGCGCTGGGCTCCCTCAGCGCTGGGGACTCTCCTCCTCCTTTCCAGTCATCGGCTGAATGCGCATGTGCAGCATGAGCCGTGCGCGCAGTGGTGTATCCTGGTTTTGTGCTGCCCTAGGCAGGACAAAACTCAGGCGCCCCCCTCCCCCCCGCGCCACCCCCACCCAACCCTTCCCCCCGCCCCACCTTCTAAATACACACACACACAGTCAGACACAAACACACACACAGTCAGACACTTACACAACAGACACACAGTCAGACACATAACACACACAGTCAGACACAAACACACACACACATACACAAACAGTCAGACACAAACACACACACTCACAAACACACAAACACAGTCAGACACAGACACACACAGTCAGACACACACACACAGACACACACATACACAGTCAGACACAAACACACACACACACACGGTCAGATACACACAGTCAGACACAAAACACACACAAACACACACAGACACACACACGGTCACATACACACACAGTCAGACACATACACACACACACACACTCACATACACAGACACAAACACACACACACACACTCCTGGCTTACACACACAGTCAGACACACACACAGTCAGACACACACAGTCGAACACAAACACACACACAAACACACACAGACACACACACACACAGTCACATACACACACACACACACACACACACAAACACACTCACAGTCAGACACATACACAGGGCACAGTCAGACACAAAACACACACACAAACACACAGACACACACACACACACAGTCACATACACACTCACACACAGTCAGACACAGACACAAACACACACACACACTCACAAACACACACACAGTCAGACACAAACACACACACAAACACACACATACACACACACACACACTCACACACAATCAGACACATACACAGACACAAACACACACACACATTAACTTTTTTTTTAATTTCAATCCCCCCCCAACCTCCTTACCTTTGGGGGGGGGGTCTCTCTCCCTGGTGGTCCAGTGGCTGAAGGGCGTGCGGCGCTGGCAGGTAGGCGGGCGGCCGGCGAGGGAGCACTTCCCCTGAGCTGACTGCTCAGCTCCCTCGCATCTTCCGGCTCCCAGCCTCACTCTGCGGTGCGCGAGGGAGCTGAGCAGAGTGCTCAGAGGAAGAGCTCCCTCGCCGGCCGCCCGCCCGCCTGCCAGCGCCGCACGCCCGCTCGGGATGTCAGTTAGCCGCAAGGCTAACTAGGCATCTGCCCTGGGCATTTGGGGGGCGGCGTTTTTTGCCGCCCCCTGAAAAATGCCGCCCAAGGCAAATGCCTTGTTTGCCTCGCGGCTAATACGCCCCTGCGCGCGCGCATTCAGCCAGTCCATAGGAAAGCATTCTCAATGCTTTTCCTATGGACGCTGGCGTCTTCTCACTGTAAAAATCACGGTGAGAAGCGTGGAAGCGCCTCTAGCGGCTGTCAATGAGACAGCCACTAGAGGCTGGATTAACCCTAAAGTAAACATAGCGGTTTCTCTGAAACTGCTATGTTTAGAGCAGAAAGGGTTCATCCTAGATGGACTTGGCACCCAGACCATTAAGCTGAAGTGGTCTGGGTGCCTATAGTGGTCCTTTAATGCTTAAAGGACCACTCTAGGCACCCAGACCACTTCAGCTTAATGAAGTGGTCTGGGTGCCAGGTCCAGCTAGGGTTAACCCATTTTTTCATAAACATAGCAGTTTCAGAGAAACTGCTATGTTTGTGAATGGGTTAAGCCTTCCCCTAATCCTCTAGTGGCTGTCTCATTGACAGCCAATAGAGGCGCTTGCGTGCTTCTCACTGTGATTTTCACAGTGAGAGCACGCCAGCGTCCATAGGAAAGCATTATGAATGCTTTCCTATGTGACCGGCTGAATGCGCGCGCAGCTGTTGCCGCACGTGCGCATTCAGCCGACGGGAGGAGAAGAGGAGGATCGGAGGAGGAGAGCTCTCCGCCCAGCGCTGGAAAAAGGTAAGTTTAAACCCCTTTCCCCTTTCCAGAGCCGGGCGGGAGGGAGTGTCCCTGAGGGTGGGGGCACCCTCAGGGCACTATAGTGCCAGGAAAACGAGTATGTTTTCCTGGCACTATAGTGGTCCTTTAAACAAAGATCAGATAAGTAAATCACATTTTGCATCCTGTATTTTAATGTCTCTTCTTATGCAACACATTTTAAGGAATCATCTCCTTTTTATTTGTATAGACAGTTTGTTGCTATTAGCAATGCTCACCAAATCTGTAAAAGTATTGACTAAAGAAATGATAATATTTGCACATGTGCAATATTGCTCATGAATCAATAATCCAATGATTTTTGATAACTGTGTATCTATCTTTTCTTGAACAATAAAATCATTTTAATTGTGGTTTCTTCTTCCATTTAGAGGCTTTTTTCACATGTTGTTGTAACCATTTTTAGGCCATTTTTAGCACAAATAAAAATTCTTTATTTTTGCCTTTTCTGTGTTCAAATCTCTTGTTTTGGCTGCTGCGATAAGCTGGTTTCCTATTAAATGTTTTGTATGCATATGCTTGTGTTTTATTACTTCCTGCATATCAATTTCTCTTTACTGATTCTTCTTTAAAACATCCTGTAACCTAATTTACAGAGAGATTCTCTCTACTTTCTAGTGCATGAATTAATGAATTACAGCATTCGGAAAGATTTATTTTTTGTCCTTTTTCTCTAACTGGATACTTTCTGCATCAGTTGCTGGTGAGGACTCTTCCACTGTGTACCCAAGATCCTTTCTCATAAGCTCATGCTGCATTCTGAACTTGCACACCAGGTCATGTGAGAGCAGGCACAGCAACATTTAAAACATTCACAGCTCCAGTGCATGTGGTCATCCTCGTAGCTTCTACTCTGAGCCTATAACCTACATTTTGAAAGTTAGCAGACTTATACTACCACAGCAGCAGCAAGTAGACGTTGGGCACACATATACATTTCTGAAAGGCTGAATACCTGCATAACAAGAGAGAGGAAGTGAGGATAGACAGGAAGATTAGATACTTCCTCTCCAGCACCACTGAGACCATAGAGGACAAACAACAAATGTCACCAACAATAGCAAGTCCTCCATCACATCCAGGCTAGGCACCAGCGATTATTACTAACATTCTGTAATAGGAAAATAATAGAAAGCATGAATCCAGATTACTAGTCACAACCCTGAAGCATGTTTTTTATAAGTTCCTTTGCTCCCAAAATACCACTGTTTGGTCATTTAAAATGCCTATGTTGCAACAGCTGCCTCAGTGGCGGATCCAGAGCCTGATCTCGGGAGGGGCACTTGTAGATTATTTAAAGAAATAATCCAGACACAATAACCACTACAGCTCAGTGTAGTGGTTATGGTGTCAATAGTGCCGGGACCCCCTCCCACAGTAAGTA